GCTACATGCTACATGAGCTACATGCTACATGAGCTAAGCTAGCATCTCCTTCCTTCTGTCCCTTTTAATGCTTAGCCTAAAAACAGAGGAGTAGTACCTACTTTCTCATCTAACTCTCTGCAAAGACGTCCAAAACAAGTTTTGAGTTAATTTAATGCCATGAATGAAGAGCTAATGACATTTAATTTAACACAACCCTTTCTCATCTTGGAAATACCTATCAATGATTAAATGTTCGCTATTGGACTAAATATCACCTGGATTTATCTTGTCTCTCTTTCTGTCTTCTTATTTATCTTTCGTTTACTGTCCCTTCAGAATTTGCTGACTCTGGTGAGTTACTCCTCTAATTTCTGTATCTCCCCCTGCTCCAAAACAATATGTTTGTTCTCATTCCAACAGCCTGGAGGCAACTCTTGTGCCCAGTGTGTCCCTTATGTATACATTTCCTAAGCGCCGATGTGCTGTATGTCAATTCTGTACCGTACCATCCCTGCAGACTCTCTTCTTCAGATATCTCATTCTCTCCTGTGGGTGCTTTTTCCCTGGAAACCCTCTGTTACCATTTCTACATTGTTTTCCCCATCGTCCCTAATCCTCTCTCTCCTCTTATGAACTCCTTTGTGATTTTTAGCTTTATAAGTGCTGCTCTTTGTGAGACACGTTGAGGCCCAAAATAAGTGCTTTGGGTTTTCCTGTCAACATTGTATGTCACTCTAGGTCTGTGAGGCTAAGCAGATATTTAGGCAGACAGAATTTGCTGTGGGAAAGAGACAGAGTAAATGTGTCAGCCTTTTGCTTAGGTCATGAAACGGCCTATCTGGAAGACGGCGAAATGCTGTCAGTTGATTTCTCAGCCCTTTTTATATCCCCGTGGTCAGAATTCTGGTTAAGCTATATGGAGCAATTAACCAGTGGACTGAAAGTGTTTCTTTGTGCAGCCTTTTGCAATAAGCTGTGGACAAAAAACTATCAGCATTTAAATTTAGCTTAAAAAAACAGCAGCTTTCTTGATGTTGTTGAGGTGAATCTCCTACAGTTTAATAATAGACCTTAGAACGTGCATGTTTTTCATTGCAGGGAACATTGTATTAGTCTGGTACACTTAGTTCTGGGCACAAGGACCAGCATCTTTTTTTTCCCCATCAGTGTGGAGCTACAAACAATATCACTTAGGAGTGGCATCAAATATTGAACTACTCAGAGAGAATGGGTGGGAGAAGGGAAGAGTGGCTCTAACTCTACTGTCTGAACCCTCAGCAGACTGCTGAAACAAGTTTCCCAAAACAGTACTCAGAATTCAGGCTGCGTGCTTCAGTAAAATGTATCACTCTCAGATCTGAACTGTGGTACTGAGTCTGTGCTTTTCCATAGCTGCAGTTGACCTCAGTAATCTTGTTAGGTTTTTTTCCTGAGGTAGACGGGAAGTTTTGCATAGGCTGAGCAAATAACAGACAAACTCACTAAATTTGGGTCAACTAAAAAAACAATCATTTCAGCACATAGCCTGTTTTTTCAGGAACCTAGCGAGACCAAAGGGGTTGTTTTCTTTAAAGTTTTAGACGTTGGTATAGAAGAAAATTACCAAAGGTCAACAAATTAGGTCCACGTGTGTGTTTGTACCGAATTACAGAAAACACCCCTCTGAATTTTCAGTGCAGTTATTATTAAAACAGCCATTTAGCATGAGGGTTAATCCATTCTTCCAGCAAGCATTTCCAGTTTTCCCCACATAGCTGCCTTGCCTGCCAGCAGTACTGTCTGTGCCGTGACCCAGACCATCGATTACATGGTTCAATAATGCACTCACTGTCACTGACCTACCACCCCTTGGGCAACGGAAATATATTTTCCACGTATGCAGATACAGTCTATTGACATTTTGGGTTAGATCTTTTTTTGTATCAACTTAACAATGTTCATAAAACATAAAATAAGCTGAAATATAAGATGACATGTTAACATATTTACTGTAGAATATAATCAGAAGAGATATTGTTTCATATCCTGCAGGAATGTGAACTCATTTTACATTGTGGGCCACATGCAGCCCACTTAGACCTTACGCCGGCTAGACGAGTGAAACCTCTTTTCTGTCAGTGTAAAGAAGTTTAACTACACATTGAATCCCTGAGATAGCGTCAGGTAAAAAACAAAAGTGCAATTTCAACGGCACATCTCACTTTTTCGACATAATAGAGAAATGCTGCTGGAGTAAATGGAGGAAATAAATTTATAAAATTACAGAAAATAATTCTCTTAGCTAAGTTTTTGTTAATTTTTTTTTCTTTTTTTTTTACTGTGGACCCACTGTAAAAATAATATATTTCTATAGTTATAGTGAAAAAAGTTTCCTGTCATTTGAATGTTTAGCTATTACTCAGGTACTTTGGTATTGTATGAAAAGCTTTGGGAGGAAAATCTGCGCTCTTCTTCATATTTTCCAGTAGGCCAGTTTGGAGTCTTTGGCGGGCCGATTATGGCCGCTAAGCCTTATGTTTGACACCCCTGATAGATAGTTTGACTTGATTTCTTGCTGTTGCCGTAGGAGCCATAGACATGAAGTTAATGTAATTTAGCTTAGCATAAAAACTGTAACCAAGTAGTTACCGGCCTCTGTTCAAACGTAATCAAATACTACGCATATGTCACACCCCCTCCCATGCCCTCTGATCCACCCCGCACTGGGTGGGTGAAAGAATCAATGCTAAAAGCCTTTTTGCTTTTGCACAGGCTGTGAATTTCCCTGACACTCCAACCCCCAGCAGACGGAGCGGACTTGCACGCACACTTTCACGCATGGCTCACCAGAGGTTTAGAGGTCACACCACAAGGACAAGAGGTCCCTTGGTAAACAACAACAACAAGCCTCGCTCTCTCTATGGAGTTACAGCGGGTGGACCGTGCAGGCAGTGATTGTGTCTGGGGATAATTGCCCTCAGGGCAGCTTTGTAGAGACTGGACGTAGAGTGGTAGTGCACTTCAAACCAAAAATAATATAACGATATGGGATTGAGACGCTTGTCAAGTAGCACCGCATATGAGCAAGGCATTTTGCAATGAAATGTGATTTCATCTCATTAGATTGTGTTTTCATGGCTGCCAAGTCTCACATTTGGCATGAGATTTTCACCATAATCCTCTCACACACTAGCAGAGTGGTCGCCCACTGTCTGATATTAGTGTGAACGATGTAGGCATGTGGGTGGGAACATATAAAGTGCTTATTGTACTGATGCCTACTACATGGCATACTTGCAAAGTTAGGGTTAACCAAAAGGTTTATATTAACTTATTTGGGAACTAGCCTCTGTTAACAGGCAGACCTGGTCAAAAATATCAACTTAGTACCGTCAGCTGAATCAGATAAAGAGGTCAGATAAAGGTCAGACAAAAACACAGCAGCACAATAAGTGAGGCATAAAAGGACAAAGTGATTTAAAACGTTTAAATTATTTGTAAATGACATGTGGTTTAATGGTAGTGTTTCAAAGGAAGTTTTTCGTCTTGTTCCAAGCCCATTGTTTGCACTGTATAAAAAATAGTGTTCGAAACAGCTTCTTGGTTCTTCGTCAACGAGATTGGCCACCGTGATGATTCAGTCTAACGGCTGTTTGAAACAGGAGAGTGGATTTTACATCAGCAATCAGAAAGATTTCCAAGAATAGCTTTAATGAAAAGGTACATGTTATTCTACTTTGTTGCCAGTGAGGTCCTTCCAATGATGACGTTTGGTTAAACTTGCTGTAGTTAGTAGAACATGCCATGTTCTCTTTAGTTGAAAATAGTTGCTCACGCTCTTTTCGAGGTAGTTTTTTGTGATGGTTCAGGATTCAGGCTGTTTCATGTGCTTCCCAGTCTTTATGTAATCCCAGACTGGCTCCATGATGTGAACATCAGACCTTGTGGTGGCCATGTGCTGCAGGACTCTTTATTTTTGTTGGTGCTGAGAATAGTTTTTTGCAACTGTATGTTTGGGGGTGATATCAGTATAGTATGTAGAATGAATTTGGAACCAGACCAATTTGTTTTGCATGGTGGATAAAAATGTAAAGATCTAGAATATTTCCTCTTATGAGCAATCAAAAGCAAATACTGTGAATGGCTTTATTTAACATTTTACCACCTGACATACAGGTTAAAACACCAGTTGAAATACATGGGTAGAGGAAACAAGGAAGGGGAATTTAAAGGTCTGGTTGTGAGATTTCGTGAAGATGTAAAAGTATATAGGAAGATCGGTGCATTGCTAAAAATAAGTAGAAGCGCAGCAGCAGTAATCAAGGGACATAGAGGGAGCCTTAGTACCACTAATCAGAGTCTCAATGGCTTTCTTTCTAAAAAAAACTTGAACAGTCTAGCTCTGAAGATCAAGGCAATTGCTTCAAATTTGTCAAAGGAATTCTGAGTTTGCTGGAAATCAGAGTTTCTGTGAAAGCTTACACAATCAGAAGGCAACTGCTGATTAACAATACTTACTTTTTGGCAGAAAACTATGAGATCGAACTTTGATAAATATCCTTAAAAGAAGAAGCCTGTTGAATATCGGGAAGACATGCTCCGGTAAGATGAAAGCAAGATAAACGAGTTCAGCTTAGATGGATTTCGGCACGCTTGGGGGGCTAGGACCACTAACAGTGAATGCATGCTCCCAGTAGTGAAGCATGGAGGTGAGCCTGTGATGATACTTGGCTGCATGAGTGCAAAAGGTGATAAGGAATGACATTTATCAATGCCACCATGAATGTCTGTGGATATGCCAGATTACCTCATAGGATGACTCTCATATTCTTGAAGCCAGGCAGAAGAGGAAAGCATGCCTGGCTTCATTATCAGAAGTTTCTAAAGAAGAACGGAGACTAAGGACAAGTTGGTCTTGCTTGGTGTTAATTGGTTGGTGTTGCTTTTTCTGAATTTGCATGTGGCGCAGAAAGACAAACCCCCATGCAGAGAGAGCTTTTGGAAAATAGTGGCTCATGAATTAAAAAGATATGAATCTTAAAGTCAGTCGGGATAAGCTTCAGTGGCCCCGTGTCCCTGAATTGGACAAGCAGTTAAGAAAGTGGCTAAATGGATGGATGGATTCCATAAATCTCAGTAATGTGTGCTGACTTCTGGACCTGTATTGTTAATTCTGGTCAGAAGGGAATATAACTACTGTCTGGAGTTAAGTTAGTTTATCTAGTTAATGTAACATAAACTTACTATTCTATTTAAAGCGAATCATCGCTTTTTTTGGCCATTTATTGTTGAAACAGCGTGGGAGGCAGAAGTCTGCGGTCCGGTGTCCTCTGCTCAGCTGCTTCACGTTCAGCTGTTGCTGCAGGTTTGAATTCCCAGCTAATTCATCATGCCGATGTGCTGACTGTCTATTTACTGTAGCATGGAAGAACTGCAGCAGTAAGGGAATCAAATTAATTGTTCGGGTTTCATTGTGGGAATAAAATGCCGAATCATCAAGCCCCTGAATAAGCTTGTGCGCAGAGGAGAGGAGGACTCATCATTTTGTTGCATGTTGACCCAGTATATTCTCTTCCGACTGTCCTCTTCTGTTTGTTTTCAATATATCTTTTTATGAACCTCTGATCATTTTTTTTAATGGTGGTATACTGATTGCCCCTTCCCCCTCCCTTTACCGTTGGCAGGCTCTTTATCAGACTGAGTTGCTGAAAGACTCTTGATGTTTTGTATTTGCAGTTGAGTCCTTGCTTTGTCTTTGCACTTATGCAGTGATGAGTTGGGGAGATTTTGTCTCTCTGTATGTGACTTCTTGTGCTTCTTGTGTGACTCTGTACAGAATGTGATGTGAGTAGAACCAGCAGATCTGTCTTGTTCTGTCATGTTCACTCTTTTCCTTTTCTCTGTGTGTTTGTTGCCTTACCCTTGTCTTTTGCTGTGATGTTGTAGAGCTTGGGACTTATGGGAAACTAAAATATTATCACTCAATGACTGAGGAAGGTAAGCCTGAAAGTTTTCATTACTTGATTCTTTGAGACAGCTTCTATCATCCCTCTTGTTTTTATACTCCTCCATCTTCATCACGAAGCAACACATCCAGCCCCATTATTATTTATTTATTTTTTTGCCTGTGATACACAGTTTGCATAATTTTGCTTTAAGTTGATAATCTCGCTGAGATTTCACTGGCATAAGTGCAAATCATAGTAGCCATGCCTTTTTTTTTTTTATTGTACTTTTTGTTCCCATTTTTGGTCTTTGGCATATTTTTATATTTTTTTCCCCTACGAATATGTACATACATATTGTGTGTTACTGTGTGTAGTGTTATTATGACATTTTATTTATTAGGTATTTTCTGAAAATTTCTAAATTTGCTTCTTTTGTTTGACGTTGTGTAAATTAAGACATGCATAATGCAGGCTGGTTTAACTACAAACGCACACTTACACGGCCAATATTGCATTCAGAAAACACACAAGGTCTTTTTAACGTTTTCTCGTCTTTGCTTGTTTTTCCCTGTTACCCATCTGCGTCTCTGAGCAATACAGCACATCATCCATTCCCCAGCACTTACTTCGAGGTTACACTTGCACCAGAAGCAACGTTTCTGAATTTGGCAAACTGGAGTGACTAATCCACCCAGTGGTTGTGTAACAGGCAGAAATGACAACGTTTTTTAACCCACACTTCACAAACTGGTCTTTTTGTTGTTAAATATTTTTTAAGTTAAAGAATTTAACTAAACATTAACTGTGTTTTTTTATTTTTATTTTTTAATTCCTTTAAGATGGCAATACATACATTTCCCATACATAGCAATCACATATTTATAATTTGGGTGGAGTGTTATTTTTGATATTTGTGCTTTTATGCTAAAACAAAGTGACAGAAAAACACATTTTTAAAATTTGCGTTAAAAAAAAATCTAAAAATGTAACCATATTAAGTAAAAGCTCTGTTTCCAAATAACAATAAATAAGGTGGAAATGGCAAAAAAATTGTTATAAACTGCATTTGGTAGCTTTACTTTTAAAAGCAATTTATTAGTTTTGAATATCACTGTCATTAAAGGGTAATGTGTTGCGTTACAATGTTAGCTGCTGAGAAAATTCATGTTTTATTTTATCTTACCAGATTTAACTTTATAGTAATCTCGAGTAAGCTGGTTATGTTGTCCAGTTTAACCTCTGAGTATACTAACTTTACCTCATGGTGAGTTCATGGTGACAACAAGCTTGTTAATTTTCCTCATCACAGCTAACTAAAATCTTTCCGCTTCAGAGCTGTAGCAGTTGCATATTCCTCCTCCTCAACATCGCCTCGCCACCTTTGTAACTAGTTGAGCTTAGAGCTCAATCACTCAGGTCTAGAGACCTTTCAACAACCTTGTGGCATCCACTAGTTGCAAGGGGAAATTATGTATTTCCTGTGAAATTGATTCACAAAACCACATTGGAGCAGGTCTAGAGATCTTAATTGAAACTCTGTAAACCACCAGTCACTAGAAAAAAGTGTGTATTCCACAACCAGCGGGTGTGAAACTGATTGCAAAGAGATTTGCTATGCTGCACCAAAAACGTCTTTGTGATTGCTTTGGTTGCTAGTAGGTTTCCAGGGTGAGAAGAAGTTTCCATGGAAGACGCCAAACTGCCTGCAGATACTTGCAAACTACTTGCTAAGCTGTAGTGAAACTGAAAAATGTGATGCAAAGTCGCCTTTTGAAATAGTTTGTGGTTGACGTTTTAAGGCAAAGCTTTTACTTTGAAGGTGAATGTTTTTCATTTTCGGTTTATTTGCAGCTTTGAGAGTAAATGTCAAGTTTTTGCAGACAAGTCGACGTCTTCCACACAAACTGTGAGCGACTGCGCCAGTCTGATTCTGACCAAGCCAATCATGAGAAGGTTTTTTTGTTTTCAGCTCCCTGTTTTTGAGTGGCGACAGCCACCAGCCTCCAACAACCGCTTTCCTGCAAGTTGGGGAATACACATTTTCTGAAGTGACCAGAGGTTGCCGTGGGGTCGCTGACTGGTCTCTACGCCTGTGTGACTGAGGCCTGGAGGTGCTTTTTCAATATCTAAAAATTATAACCATGACACTAATTAAAACACATCTTCCCACAAGATAAATCCTGCCACCTTTGCCATATCACTAACTGAGCTTAACATGCACACTTACACAGCCTGAGGATTGAAAGCCTTCTACTAGTACATGCAACATACTTCAAGGAGTGGAAAGGCAAAAGAAATGGTGTGATGTCATCAGACAACAAAAGACACGACGGTATATGGTAACTGATTGCTCATTCGAATAATTAACCAATTAGCTGATCCACTTAATTGCTTTAATTTGCACATTCGTTAAAACAAACAAACAGTTAAATAAATAAAGAATCAGAACACCTAAACAAGTTTCTTTATACTTTGTTACAATACCAGTGATAACTGAGAGAAATAAATAGCTAGATTCCTGCTAAAGCTAACTTGCTGAGGTGATCTCAGATTCTGTGTATTATGTATCTAAAATGATAAACTTCCTTCTTCTTGCAGCTTCTGTAGTAACGGCTCTTTGCTTTCACAGGTCTTTATCAAAGTATGTTCAAAGTTAGATCTGAAACATGACGCCAGTGTTTTTTTTGGGTTTTTTTTAGCATTTCTTTTCCATACCTACAGCAGAAAGCACAACCCTGTCAGTTTTATGTCCAAGTAACAAGATGATGATCTCAGACTCCCCCATCCATAAATAAACACCCACTTATCCATGAATAAACACGCACAAACACACACTCGCTAAGACAACTAACTGACAATGACCGCCTACGGTGAGTGTCGTCAAGACAGAGGAATGTGTGATTCTGTCTTGTGAAAGTCGGGAGTGTATGTGTGTGTATTTGTGCGCATGTGTGTGGAGGAAGGGCAGGGAGGGGCTGAGCGTTGCCAAACAACAAAAAGACAAAGTGAGAGAAAGATGGTGTTTGCCAAAGACGAATGGGTGAGAAAATCCGAGGTGATAGAGAAATGTAGAGTGAGACAGAGGAGGCACGAAGGCGGCCGACGGTGACTTGGGGTGGTTAATGATTTTGCCAGAAGGTCACAGACAGCGTTCACATGGCTGGGCGGAGTATTCGTATTGACGCATCACTGTGTCAAGCACTGACGAATCAGCCATGCATTTGTAAAATGAAACAAAAAAAATCTTTTGCATTGATTGCAGCCGGGTGATTTGGATGAGGCAGGAGAAAAGGGAAGGATTGACACGCACAGTTAAATTAAGCACGGATGCACGACAGCACAACGATTAATGATGCGCACAGAAAGTACGTGCTGCATAGCATAAAGTCTCTTATATTACAGGCTGGTTTAAAAAAAATAAAATAAAATACTGAGAGCAACCACTACTGCTGAACTCTGACCTGGAATCTGCACAACTTGGTGCTGGAATCGTATTTCTCCTTGTTTCTAGGCTATATTTGTGGTCTTTTGGGGGGATTTCAGGCTGTAGGGATTTTATCAAAACTCTATTGCTCCTCAGTTATTGCTAGTGATTAAAATTGCCTTGGATGAGCCATTATTTACAATATCAAGAATGCACACAAATTATATGAGCCTCAAGGTTTCAATCCAGTCCACTGCATCACACCATTACAAAATGGTTTCACAGAATCAATTAATGTTATCTACAAACTAATACGTACCAGCAGTTTTAGAAACATCTGTTCAAATTCTCTACATTTATAGTTATGATAATTTTTTTGTCTTTGAGTAAGAGATGGGCTGTGATAATGATCAAATTAGTTGCTTCCTGGATTAAAAATTTGAACACAGCCTCTCGAATCTTTACATTTGTGATTTGTGACATGCCGTCCCGAACTTTTGTTTGCTTTTAAGTTCCCTGCTAGCCTCTGGCATCTCTTGTGACTTTTTGATCTGAAATGAGAACCGAACAAGACCAGGACTTAATCTGAGCTCCAGAAGGCAGATCTTTTCACAAGAGATTCTCTCTGCTTCGCCTCCGCCAAGGACCAGGACATTGCAGGATCATCAGTATATGATATGCTATGTCATATTGACTATGTGTTCTTGCAACTGCAGTTTTGTGTAAAGCCGCCACCCTGTTTGTTCTGTGCTTTTGAAACGCGACCCATCTGGGGTCGAAGGTGACAACGAAGGAGCGCTGACTGGGACGAGGCCGAAAGGCTTTGTGGATGCTACGGTACGCGGCGCTTTGGTCCGAATTTGACCAGTGTTGCGTTTTCTCTTTTCGTTTCCTCTTTGCAGGTAAATTTCGAGAGAAGGCGTCTATTCTGCACAAGATTGCTAAAAAGAAATGCCAAGTGGAGGATAGTGAAAAGGCCAATGGAGTAGCGAGTCGTTCAGGTAAATAAAACTTTAATATCCTTTAGATCTTATTGCAGTAGTATGAAATCATAGGAAATACCTTTGTTTATTTTCTGGCTCAAAATTGTTCGTACAATAAAAAAATGCCAGTCTTTATGTTACACATACACAGCTACACTGGCTGAGTGGTGTCGGTCTGATATTTCCCAAAGTGTCTCTTTTCTTTGGAAGACCTTTCCTTTCCAAGGAAGACCTTGGAAGACCATTTCCAAAGGATCCCATGAATCAGGATCTTAACTCAAGCGATGAACTAGTATTGTGTCTACACATAAGACAAAGAAACAATTTTACATCTTTAGATACTTTGTTACTAACAACCTGTCACAAAAACACATGATTTATTCCCTTTTTCTCTAACAGAATCTACTAAAATGCCAAAGATAACACAGTTTTACAGCAATAAAATTGTATTTTTGCACCATCAAGGTGAATTGCAAAGAGCTGTTAGCTTAAACTTGATATATCTGAACATGGTGGAAAGCGTGTCCTTTAAAAGAATTTGAGAAACCTGGGCAGATGGAGGACAAACGAAGTGAAAGGCCTACAAATACCATCAGCCGCAGATCAACAGTAGTTGAAAGTCATGTCTTAAAGAAATGGGAAAAATCAGTTGACCTGTCTACTGTTCACTGAAGCCTTATCAGAAATGGCGTAAGTGGAAGGGTGGCTGTCAAAAAGCCATACTTAAGGAAGGGAAATGATGAGAAAAGGCTGAGATAAGCAAAACTACTCAAGAACTGGACTCAACATCTGTGGCAACTGGTCAGGATTTCAAGAGAAAGCTACGACAGGGAGTGTAACGGCTGTCTGTAAAACACGGTGGAGGCTCTGTCATGGTTTGGAGTTCCATTTCAGTCAGTGGTGTTGGGGATCTTGTCAAAATTTATGGAGTTTTGAACAAAAAAGAATATTAATCCACCATGAAATTCCATGTGGAAAGATTATTCAGAATGACTGATCCCAAACATGCTGTCAGTGCAGTAAAGGCATGCCTTGATGGAAAAACATAGCGATGAATAGGTCCGCACTGTCCACTGATCGCTGATCAGCTTTGGCCTCTCACGACCTTCAAGGAGAAGCGGGTATCGCTAGAATAACCGAGCTCATGTGCGTTAGTTATTAGATTCCCTACTGAAACGATCATCTGTTGTTAAACAAACACGACATGATCAAGAGCAGCCAAATTGATTGCAAGTGTTGTCTTCAAGCAGTATTTAATCAATCACAGTCACTGCCAAGAATAATTTATGTGTTTTTTCACTTCAAAGAGCGCTGGACCAAAGAACAAACAGGAGGCCAGAGGAAACACTTTCATGGCCACAATGGAGGCAAAGCAGGAGAATCAAAGCGAGACATAGCTGATGATCACCAAGGCAAAATTATGCTAACCGCACCACATTAACATATTACCCTCTTGATCAAAGTGCTCGACTGGTGGTCACCACAGCTAACTTCACTTTTTAGGTTGTTGCAAAAGAATATTTACTGTGACTCAGTCCCAGGTATCACATTTTTAGTTGTAATATTGTCACATCTGAGCGAGCAAGGTAGGGAGGGAGGTCATGTGGTGGACCAAAGTGGTATCGAGGCACATTATCTGTCTGAGAATCTGCTAATTGTATCACAACCATACTTGGATTAAAGCAATTTCCACAGCAATTATAGTTTAATCATCTGATTACATGGCTTTCGGCTCTTTGTATTTTAATAAGGGTAAGTTAAGTAAGTCGGGCCTCAATTGAAATGGATTTAAAGCAGCCACTAGCATTTGATAAGGTTAGATAGTATTAGCCTCATACATGCACATGTATGTTCACACACATGGGGGTGCCTTGATGTACTTTTTGCCATTATTTCTGTTGTTACTTTTTTTTTTAAAATAAATATATGACATTTATGTCTAACTTTCCAGCAGTTCCATAAATGTGTTTTTCTTCTGACTACAAAACAGAAATTTGAAAGAAGCAAATAAGGGTTGAAACAGATGTTGGTACTGAAATGCTAAGTTGGTTACTTGATTGAAATAAAGGTTAGTTATTTGGCAAAAAGACGACCTGGAATAAAAAGGTGTTATCAAAAGTTCAACAACTTTTTGGGCATAAAAAGCAGAAACGACTGGTGTCCCCTTCATGGTCATCTTCTTGTGCAGCTCTGCACTAGTACATGGAAACGTCCCTGGAGGATGCATTCACACCACTTGCACATGAGCTTTTGCAACTTCACTGCTTGCATGAAGAGCAAATATCAACTGTAGTGTTACAGCGTTCTAAATTTCAATATGAGAAACTGTGGCTATGAAATCCGAGTCTGTAGCTAAGACTGAGAGACCCGATAACTCTTCCATTGAAAATGTTGCAATGTTCATGTCAGGTGGTGGCAGATCAGGTCATGAAGTTCAGGTGATACAGAAGCATACGTGCATGTTGGGAATGGTGCTTCTAGAGAGCAATCTAAACAGAGCAGGAACATTAGGTGTGTCTTTGAGGGAGTTTCAGTCAAATTTAAATCTGGAAAAACAGGTTTTTGTTTTTTTTTACAGGTGCAGTCGTAGAACATTTTGATCACACCTCATAATTTACTTAACTAAACAACAGTTTTCTGTTTAATCAGGCCTTCTGCTGACATTTTCTGTTGTTCTTTATGCGTTTCATTTGTTTTTGTTCTATTTTAACAAGGTTCTCTATGATATTATAATTGTGCTGTAGTTGTTTTACAGCACTTTGTGACTTTTATGTCTAAGAAAAAGGGCTATATAAACAACTTTACTTACTTTATTTACCACAATGTGAGGATTCCCTAATAATTAAAAAAGGAGCTGAATCATTTTACCTGGTTAGAATTGCTATGCAGAAATGATTCGTCCTCTTTTCTTCAGACCATAAAAACGAACACTTTGTCTTTCAGAGTTGTCAAAAACAAATTCATTATTATTATTATATTAATTCATTATTTTTCCTGCAGATAAGAACCTTCCTAACAGCTCCAGTGTGGAAGTGGAGGTGACCCCACCTATGAATGGAACAGCAGGGCAAGAGGGGGAGACGGTAAGAAATGAAAGGGCACTCACAAATCGCAGTATGTGGAAAATCTATTTATACCAGTTCGTCGCCTGTCCACCTAACTGGGTGAGAAGGCGACGAAACTGTGAGACAAACATCAAAGTAAGAGAGGCATTTATGAATATTTTATGCCTCTCATCTGTGTCTGTGTTCCACCTTGAGTGTGATTGATGCAAAGGTTGCACCAACTATGGCACAGGTCACTACTGCTGATAATTTCCCAGCATGCACTCGGGCGAGTTCCTCCATCTTCAGCCAGACCTGCCAAAGACCCGTCTCCTCCCTCTGAGTTCTGTAATCACACTCCTCACTCACCTGCTGCTCCCCGCCGCTGGATGCTCGAAACAAACACACTCGCCCACGTACGTCAACACAAACACACACTCGGTCTTTGACGTGTGGCCAGGCTCAGCGAGCCTCATAACGGCACCTGAACCAGAATCGCTGGCATTAATGACGACGGCGGGATGCAGCAACCCGCCAAGCCAGCAGACGGTCCTGGGGCAACCGGGCAGCTAATCAAAATATGTACACTGAGAGGAGAACAGACAGAGGAGGCGAGGGTGTCGGTCATCCTGCTGGATTTTCAACTTTTAAATTGCTATCAACAAGAGTAATCCCAAAAGCCTGCTAATGTTCCAACTAATGTTCAGCCAGTTTCAGCTGGGTGAACAATAGTGGGAAAAAAGGAAAACATAACAGGAACTGTGTGCTAATATATTTAACTCTAAGCTTGATGGAAATCACACAGCTTGTAAGTCTCTTTGGGCAGACGACTTACTACAAGGAGACATTCAACTGATGTTGCTTGTGGTCTTTAATTACTGTAATGTTTCCTCCAAGTGGAGGACATGCATTAGCCAAAGTGCTTTGGTTGTAATAATCAGTGTTTTGGCTAATCATTCTTCATAAATATATATACAATTGGGGGGAAAAATGGGAACGATTTTGTTGATATTCTCACAAACGTCACATGAACAAATTAGCTCCAGTTATCCTTTATTATCCTTTACAATTAATGCATGATATGGAGAGAGTTTTTATTCTGTTAACAATTATGCAGGCTCAGACTGCTTTCTTTCAGAAGCATTTTTTCTTGCCTCAAGCTTCCAGTCCTTTATCCAGTTTATCTCATATCATAGAGATTTGTAAAAGTCTTTCATATTGAAGAAAATTGCATGTATAAGCATGACGAAATTACAGTTTTACTAACATCGTGCTGTGTGTAAAATTTAAAGACAAGGTAGATAAATGTGAAACAAAAAACAGTGGCACGTGAAAAGTTTAAAATCTAAGAAGTAACATGTTTTTTTCCTTTTTAAATTCTGGACTTACATTATTAAAAATACAACAGAAGTGTTGGTGCATCAGCGGTAGTTTTGTATTTGAGAGAGTGTATAGTTTAATTTAGGTTATTTAGTTATTTAGTATGAAATGTACATAAAGTTCATTATATAAATATATGTATATATCTGATATATTGTATAAAGTGTAATATGTGAAGCAGCTTTGCATACAGTGGTGTCCACAATACTATGAAGTCCTACTTGATTAAAAGCACAAATAATACTGTACGAAGCTAATACTGGAAAATGTAAATAAAACATAATGTAATAATTTACCAATCTCAGAGATCAACATTTTATTCACAATAGGACATATAAAACATATCAAATGTTTAACACATTTTACAGTTTAATGAAAAATATTCTCATTTTGAATTTGATGGAGCAAAAAACTGGAAAAGTGAGCGTTAGCACAGCTGAAGAAACATTTTTAAATTGATTAGTTTAAATACTAATACTAAATTAAAACAAAACTAATACATGAAACTATTTAGTTTAAATGGCAACGGCTCCGTAGCACGATTGGGTATAAAAAGAGCATCTTACAGAGCATCTCATGGGTTTGGATTCTCAGGAAACACTTCATTAAAAACAGGCATGATTCTGTTATAGAAATCAGTGCATGGTCTCAAGATCCTGACATTTTCCTCTCCTAAAATCAGACATCATAACATCATAACCGGATATGATGCTAAAAAAATGATATTCTTGTGATTAATGTTTGGCAGGAAGCAGAACAGCAGGTAGATGGAGTTTAAAAACACCTTTTTTTTTCAGGTGATGATTCACAAACTTTGAAAGACCTGGATGCTTATTGGCATTCTTGATTCCTACATGCTGTTATTTTTAGATCCTGCACAGTGCACCTGCCTGTGTCAGCCAGGAAGTAGCTGGAAACAGCTCACACCTTCATATTGCCGCCAGAGGCCCCATCACGCTAATTGTTCAATTCCTCCTGGATGTCTTGGCAACCAAGACTGGGGAATAAGGAGATAGTTAAGGTCAAATTAAAATTTGCAGCAGAGTTTTGCACGACTTACTGTCTAAACCCTTGAGAAGCAAGCCAAGAAAAGTAGTCATGTGCTGTAATTTTTCTCTGAGCAGCAGATTTTTCATTTTAAAATCTGCATCTGGTTCTAATTTTGATGGTGACATTAAAGCTATGTTTCACTCAATTGTCTATCTGCAAGAACATGCTCTAGATTTTTCTGCTTTCAGTAGCATACATTTTGAATATTTATAAAGCTCCTGTAATCAATTATTTAAATAACATTCGGGAAAACTAAAGAAAATCATAACTACGGGATCTCATGACTCATCCTACGTCTTCTATCACAACTAAAGCGATGTGAAAAAAAACATTGTGTTCAGGGGTTCCTGGGTGGAAGTACCATTCAGTTTGAAGATTTTCTTGCTTTTTCTTTTCCTAAATAGGATGAGAATTTTATATCCAGATGGAGCCTGTGTGTGTGGGGGACAAAAAAAATATTCATGCCATTGCAGCTGTTAGGGCATCTATGAAGATGAATGTTTCATGTGAAGAATGAGACACTGCTGTCAGACAGGCAAATAGTGAATGGAAATGTGTGAAGTTTCAAATCACAGTGTGTGTTTGAGGCTTTCTTTGTGAATTACACATAGCATCTTAGTTTTAAACAGATGGCTGCATTTTGTCAATTCCTGGACACTCAAAGTTGAATCAAGAAAATAATGCAACACTCACAATGGAACACTCTGAACCAAAAACCCAAACCAAAACAACAAATTTAGACGTTTCACCACAGATCAGCTGATTTCAACATCGACCCACACCCACGGCGAAGCTGATATCCACGTAAACACCCCAATAACCTATACGGCGTGCAGTTTAGGCTGCTTTAGCCTGCCTGCAGTTGCAGTTGCAAGCTGCTTTGCAACCCTTCTTCACCCCAGCTACTCTTTAATACTGTGTGTGATTTGACGGATGTCGTATCTGTTGGCAACAATCCCTGCTCTGGCTTTCTGTGCATGCACATAGAAAGCCTAGAGAGGTGTGCTCCCAGAATTCACTGCTGATGAAAATAACAATAATCTGTCGACTCTGTGGCTGAGATATTATTTTACTTGAAGACCAAATTCCTCTGTGTTTTTTTTTTCCCATTATTGTACTTGCATTATTTATTAACTGGAGATGCCTCATGGAGGCGAACCTGTCAGATCAGCAGTGTTTTCCTTCTTCTGGTTAAACTAATGCAAACACACCATTTGCATTTCCAACCTTGCTGCAGCTGTTCTGCACTTTTTTTGACCATTTCAACTATTGTAGCTTTGTTGCCTCACACCGGGTACCAGAGCAAATGCTTCCCTCCAGGAAGAAAGAAAAAAAAAAAGCAAATGTCACGCCTCCCCTCGCAGCTCTGTGGTGTCTGATAAAAGTCAGTGCCTTTAAGCACAGAGTTGGCAGTGTTACCAACTGAGCCACCACAGGACAGGAAAGGCCCCCAAGGGGCTGGCATTTAGGAACCAAGTTAGACCAGGGAGCACCAGCTCAATGGGGTACTTTAGCATAGAAAGCAACTAAAGCAAATCATAAATAGTCAAATGCTGGATTCATGGTGAGCAGTGTCATCCAGAAACAGTAGTCTGCATGCAGTCAACATGCCCATGAAAGAGCTGCAGAGCAAAACCGTGTGGAGTGGACTGTCAATATTGTGATTGAACATAAGAAGAAGCTTTTGCTGCGTTTTTGGATTCTGCAGTGAGCCAAAATAACAATCTTTGCATCTTTTAAAAGCAGTGGATTTGGTCCAGAATTGATCTTTGCGAAGCTTCGGGTGTTTTTGTTTTGCTTTTTAGAGCTTTTAAAAGACAACAATGCAGCCATCTGGATATGGAGAGGAGGAGAAATCAGAATGCTGAACATAAGTGATGCAAGCCCTTTTGTTTGGCAGCTCTGATTACCAAGGTTACCAGGCAATACTCAACAGCAGTCGCTGTCACAGCAGGATAAGCGCCATATGATTCATGATTCGTGCAGCAACCATCTTTAAAGATTTCTGCTTCACTGTGGCCTTGTTTAGCTGATCTGATTAAATTTGTTAAGGCCTGAAATGATTTCCTTGAGAAAATTACTACCCAGCGTATCACATCTGTTATCAGCATCTGTTTTACTTTGTTTTTCTGCCCAGTGTATCTTCTGCACCCCTTCACTTCATGTTTTTATACCTATTTATTCTCAAAAGGGCAGGGGATAAATTTTAGATCACTCACATGTTCTAGTCTGGCCTGCGTGCGTGGACTTGTTCTCTGCAAGTCCCCTTGGCTCCTTATCATCTTCTATAATTAGTTGCTAAGGGACCTCGGGATCTTTCTGAATAGAAAAAGCTTAGTTGTTGTGCTATTTAACTATTACCTGGATGTTTAAGTGACAGCCTGTAAGAAGGTAGATAAAATGATGATGTAGTCATCTTTCCTGGAATCTGATTTCATGCGAATCGCAGGGTGCCGTCAACTTTTGTCTCACTTGGCATTCCAGCAGCACGTCCAGTCACACCCTAAGGATCTGCTGATGCAGCCAACATCACCAGTCAGCAGTGATGAGCCCCCGATGACTGCTGACACTCAGCCCTTCAGGTTCAGTGGAGTCTCAGAAATCACAGCCACCTCTCTCTTAAAGTAGACCTGTTATGTGGTTTTTTTGTTTTTTTAAATTTGTCATACTCTTACAATTGCAATGGCCAAAGTTTCAAATAATGAGGCCAAGTGCCCACTCTTCAGACTGTTTTCTACTTTATATTTTGAATCAAATCTCTGAGTGTTGCTCTGTATCAAACAAAGCAGATTTATGAGGGGCAGCCAATCAGAAGAAAAAGAAAGTGGGCTTTCCGGGAGATCACACTGCTTGTTTCAGACAGAGGATGATCCGATGTGGTTGCAACATGGTCCAGTATAAGACATTATTTTCAGCTATGAATCATGCAAAACTACCCTGGTAAATTCCCAAAATGAAAAGAGAGACATGGAAATAAGCAGAATGGGTCCCCTTTAAAGTCATGGTAGCACACATCCAGTTCCTGCGATTAATCTCTGCTGACTTTTGAATTCCTTCATAACAGTGGTGTTGTCAAACTGACCCCTCCTCTGTGGGTAGTGAGTATGTGAAGCTAAAAGGGACCCTTCCAGTGTTTTTATTTTCCAGTTATTCCCTCTTGTTCACCTGATATTGTTTTCAAAATGATACATTTTGACCAGTATCTCTTTCCCTTTTTTCTGCTCTCAGGCTGAGGATGAAGAAGAAGAGGACCAGCCTCTGAGCCTGTCCTGGCCTGAATCTTGCCGCAAGCGCTTCACCTACCTCCTGATCATGCCTATTGTCCTTCCCCTGTGGCTAACGCTGCCTGACGTCAGGAAAACGGTATGCGACTAAATTCTCCTGAACAAGAATGCCGTGTGCGTGTGTCTGTGTGTACGTGTGCTGCTCAATCCTTCTTTTTTTTATTTTCCAGTCATCAAAGAAGTTCTTCCCCATTACATTCCTGGGTGCCATCTGCTGGATTGCAGGATTCTCCTACCTAATGGTGTGGTGGGCCCATCAGGTACACAAGACTCTGTAAAAAGAACTGATGTTATGTGATCATAACAGCAGCCCAAAAGCCTAATGATATAAGAATAATCCTTGCAAAATATATTTTCCTTCATTTCTCGTTCTTGACATTTATAATAACCCTCCATTCCCATCCACTCACGCATAATTACAGCTGTCTTGTTTAAAACAAAGATTGTCAGAGATACTTTTATCACCTCCTTCAGCTTCTAAGCACAAGGAAATTAAAAATAGCCAGAACAAAGATTAGTTTTTATTTACCCTAAAGCTTAGCTTTCTTTTTTTTTCTTTTTTGCAGGTTGGAGAGACCATTGGGATTACAGAGGAGATTATGGGACTGACTATATTAGCAGCTGGAACCTCTATCCCTGACCTCATCACCAGTGTTATTGTGGCACGCAAGGGGCTGGGTGATATGGCTGTATCCAGCTCTGTAGGCTCCAACATCTTTGACATTACTGTTGGGTATGTTATCCAAGCATGATCTGGGTAGGGATCCGTATGTGATGTTTAGGAGAAGCACAGAGAAAGCAGTACTTTTTGCTCTGACGATGACTCCTCTCAAAGCCTTGAATTACTGTAGCATCATAAGTAAACTATTACTGGCTCTATGGGCCGCAGTAAGATGGCTTTCAGGCTGTAATGGCATTTTTGCAGCGCAATTTTGATTTCCAAAGTCTTTACACAAGATTAGGTTCGGTTTCGTGGCTAAACCTGTATCATTTCTTCTAATAGCAACAAGATAGTAAAGCAAATGTACCGCGTTAGATGTGGCGACCACGTGCATATTTGTTAAGCAGCTTTGACTAAAAAAAGACTAAATTATAAACAGGCATATATCATTTAAAGGGTCAGTTTATCCAGGACATAGACGCGTATCTTCATGCTGTTATTGGCTCTCAGCAGCTCACGTGGTCAGCCTGTAACATATCGTGTGCTTGTGTACTTGCAGACTGCCGCTCCCCTGGCTCCTCTGGTCCCTATTCAAAGGCTTGAGACCGGTGCAAGTCAGCTCCAACGGCCTCTTCTGTGCAATCGTGCTCCTCTTCCTTATGCTCCTCTTCGTCATCATCTCCATCGCCGCCTGCAAGTGGCGCATGAGCAAGCTGCTCGGCTTCATCATGTTCATGTTGTACTTCGTCTTCCTGGTGGTCAGTGTCATGCTAGAGAACAAGGTCATTAGCTGCCCGGTGACTATTTAAGGACCTTTCAGGGACCTACATCCCTCCGTCACCCTCACCACCATAACCATCCTATTTGTCTGCTGTCTGTCTCACCTGACCCTTTGCGATCCTTTACACCGGGAACAAAAGACAAATAAGAAGAACTGTACAAGAGATGAATGAAAACTGTGGGATCTCCCTTTATTTTCAGTGAGCAGGTGGTGGTGGGGAGCGCTTAAACCATTAAGGGACAAGACTACGGCTTGGCTGGTTTAACATAGGCTTAACAAGAGTGGATTTTAAATATGTTGTTATTTTCACTGGCAGGTGAGTAGGGTAGAGGGTTTGGGTGGGTGGGTTATGGGTTTATGCCAAATATAGAAGTATTATGCATGCCATTAGTTTAACTAGACGAGAAATGAAGGTAGGTTGAGAAGAATGACCTCCTGTGAAGTTCGGGGGGAGAAACAAACAAACATGAGATGCACTGTTTAAAACTCTTAACAACAAATACGGCTGAGCTCAAATTTGTGATCACATTTGAAAGCACAAACTGGTTGAACTGACTGAGACGTCGTGAGTGAATCGTGATGTGGACGAACTAATGAATGAGAGAAACGGGAGCAGCGTGCGGATGAATGTGTTCTTCGAAACATGTTGTTTAATGGTCGATGGGGACGACTCTCTTTTGAGCTTCGCGCCTGAGCAGCAAGGAGCGCGGCGAAGGACAGATGAACTTCTATTTTCTTATTTCTTTCTTGCAAACTTGTCTGTGCTCAGAGTTGAAGCTTCTCCTCGCCCCCTGTCAGGGTGTCATTTTTCACCACTGAATGAGTCCTTTTTTCTTTTAAATAATTTTTTTTAATTCATTTTCACTAAATGTTAGAAGTAGCATTAGATGAACTGTAGCATGACAATCTGCTCCTTTTTTTCTTCACCCATTGAGCAAACATTATGATTGTAAAGAGATTTCCATTTCACGTGCACCGATGGACAAAGGCAAGAACAAACAAAAGAAAAGCCTAAATGAAAGTTAGCTACATATGCTAGCCTTCGATATCTTGTACTGGTTAAGGGGGCGAAAACAAAAGCATGAATACTTAGGCTCATTAAAGATCCATAAACAAAGTCAATGTCAAGATAATACATTTGAAAATAACTTTACTGTGTTAAAGCGTCATGATTGATTTAGATTAGTCAGTGTGTAGTGCTTTGTTCACAGTAGAACTGGGCTCAAATCACCGGCTAGTTAAGCTCCTGGGGTAGAAGTTTCAAGGAGTCAACTGCATGTAGGGGAAAAAAAGGAAACAAAAAAAAAACAAAGCCACCTGGAGGTGAATTATACCAATCAACATTTAAGAAGTTGTATACCGAAATGTATACTTTCCAGACATGCTTCATAACTTCTTAATGCAAACGAGTGCTCAGTCTCTATGTAGAAAATGTCAACATTGTACGGTCGACGATATCTATCAAACTTGTGCAATTTCTTTTCTAATCAAAGGTGCTTTTGTGTGCATGTGTGCAATCTGCATTTAAAGTCACGACACGATGACGATTCATAGAGGTCATACTACCCGTGTTTTGCAACTAACTGCAAAAAAATATATATAAATATATACCCCGATCTGTGTTTTATACTGGGAAAATAAATCATAATCACGAACTCTCTTTAAGCATAGAATGTGGAAATCATCGACTCAACAGCAATATAGCGTGTGTCGTGTTGAAAGACACCCCTCCATCATGCGTCAGTGCCCTGCCCTCCCTCGCTGTCCTGTCCAGACATAAAAAACATACAAAAAAAAAAAAAAAAAGCCCCACTTCATAAAGTGGGCGACCATTTCTCCTAAAACGAACCCCTTCCTGTTAGAGCTGGCCAGGAACACCTGCTTTACCTCAACACAGCCTCTGTACAGCAGCTTAGTAGGAGTTAACTGTAAAATAGTAGTAAATAGATTCTCTGAATGTGTGTTGGGAAATGCATGCGAGGCGTTTGGGCTGGTTACCCACTGACTGTACAGCGGAGCTTAGAATAGACGTTCACTTTTATGCACCCATTCAGAGACAAACACTAGGAACTCATTGGTTTTACTTTGTAAATAACAAACGTGTTTGATTTTTTTTAATAGGTATTTATTTCTTTGCAATAGTGGATGGAAAAAGCTGGCGGCCCTTTATTCTCATAATATTACAGAAACAACATAAGAATTCATTTTAAGGCTAAACATCAGATTAAAAATGTGTCTCTTCAGTTCAGAAAACGAGGGCTTTAAATACCACATTGCCTCCTCTGATTGAACAAATGTAGACGTGAGCGATGTTGCCATTTAAAGTTACAGATGCACAGGGCAAACAAAACTCTAATGCCTGTCCAGACCGTGCTCACGATAAACCGCTGTGCTTGGCGCGTTCTCACATGTTATATTTCTTTGAGGATTTCTAGCAGCCGCATTCAAACAGTCGGTTTATGGCCTCTGCGATGACTCATGTACTTTCTGAAATTATCCTGCGCACACTCACCATTAAAACCCTTTCCTCAGAGCTCCCACGCACTCGGGTTAATGTGATCACACCTCAAGTTTCTTCAACCACCTTTTCTTTAAAAGAATAGATTTAGCTTCTTGCGGAGAGTTAGATGAGAAGACGGCCGGAACAGGTAAAAATTTAAAAAATCCAACACTTTGCTAATAAGTGTGATTGCTGAAAGATTTATCTATAGGCCTCACCCATTTGTGTTATTGAAATGTGACTCTATTCTACAAATTCCACTGCGTATTCGAGTGTTTGGACAACCTTGGATAGAGATATCATGTCATCATATCATTTTTTTCTGCTAATTAGGTATCAAAGGTTTGTGGGTGTGAGCAAGTTATCTCAAACTGCTACAACTCGTTGTCTAGCTTGACCTAATTCAGCTCAGGCTGAATAAGAAAAACAGAAGGCAAGACAAGAAAATTACTTCATCCTAATTACTTTTATTGCTTAAGAATAGAAACAGAGTTTAGACTTTTTAAAAAGGTCAAACTAGCCTGAACCATTAAATAAATTCCAGAAAATTCTGTCTTTTTGAAGCTGGAGTGCTTATTGAACCTTCTGAAAATGAAGAAAAATAATAAATTAAAATATCAGTTTGCATATATGAGTTTTAATTTGCATGTTTGTTTTGCTACATCTGGCATAGTTGTGCAATTTGTAAGTTTTTCAGAGGTATAAAATTCACACTGATGATGTAGAGGTCTCAAAAACTCATAAAAGCTCACGTATAAATATGATACACCTGGCATTACAGGGCTGGTTTATAAGCAATCAGCTTCTGCGTTTCAAGAGCTGCAGCAGCTTTCAGCGAATCACGCTGCAGTTTCTCCAAGCATTTCGTAACATGTTTTCTCATCTGTTTAATCTCCACAAAAATATGTAAAAAAAGCCTAAAATTAAGGAAACTTAGTTACATGTGGCTGTTTCTTCTTGTCTAACTACAAGCAACAAAGCAAACAAGCAAATTTCCTAAAATGTCTCAACTACCCTCAACGTGTTTACAGGTAATCTGAGTTTGGTCGGTCATGTGGTACATGTGCATACTCTGGTCATTTCATTTGTTCCATTCCTCCAAAGCCCCTCCCATCAAGTCAGCAAATTTCCAAATTTTATGTCTTTTTCTTTTTTGACTGAGAGCATGAATGGGGAGAAGAACAAGAAAAAATAAACCAAAAAAGAAAGAAGAAAAAAAACATAGAAGCGACTTAGCACATGAGCTTGGAAGTGATTGTGGTTTACCAGGGTAAGCGACCATGAAAGTTGACCACTAATGAACATTCTTGCACTGTAAATGTTTTATTTTCTTGGTGTTAATGTAAGATTTATTTAAGGTGTACATATATACAGATACAAATTAACCATATAAACTATATGTGTAAAAGAAATATGTCTCTTTATGTAAAAACACAAAGTATATAATAAAAACGAATAAAGATGCTTCAAATATGCAATAGTGTGTTTGATGTCTTCTTTTGTTGTTGTTGTAAAAATAATACTCTTTATTTCTTGCCATTACATCAACTTATCTGATGAAGTAAACTATATGGAGTCATGGGAACTTTAAGTTCCACATTAGAGAATTAAAGTCATGTAACGTTTCAAACTCTTCTACGGTGCTAATTTTAAAATTGTGAAACTCTTTCTTGATAACCAGTTCTGCTGCCTCTGGAAAAGCAGTCCTGGCATGCAGGGCTGCTTATGCAAATGCTCCGCTTTGCATAAAAAGTGGTAAGTCGAGATGCATGCCACTACAAAAAAGACTTTCTTGGCAGTGATGCCAGACTGTCTCTATCCATATTTTAAAGACGTAATAGGACTGCTATTAAGCACTAAGACAATGACACTGTAATGTAAGTACATTGGCATGCAGTCTGAGCTGATTAAAGGTGATATGCCTGGTAATTTGTGGAGTTACAATGTTGTGTTGATTAAAGCACCATATACTTAAATAGCAAAGATAGTGGCAGACCCAAGATGTCGGATGATAAATGATAAATGGACAGGGCCTTATATAGCGCTTTTTTTTTTTTTATTCTACTCAAGCACTCAAAGCACTTTATACAACGTGCCTTGCTGACTCATTGACACACATTCAGAAAAGTACTTTTTTCTCGGCTTTTCTTCTTTTCTATCTGACAATCATACACACTGACACTCCAGTGAACGCTTTAGAGAGCGTCTCGGGGTTTAATATCTTCCCCAAAGATACTTTAGCAGGTGGAGCGGGTAACCTCAGGGACATTTAAATAAAAGAGGTTCTCTCTTATCTGAAACACTGATTCTGCTTTTACGGATTTGAGAGTGTGATAAAGAGGTGTAGCCTACTTTTCAAGCATTTTTAAGCAGAAATGTATTGTTTGGTACATTCACGTAACAGCATAAAGTAGTGTCATTAAGTCCCGTATAACTGTGCGTCAGAGTGCACTCCAGGTCTTTAACAAAGTGTTCTGATCCCAGAAACAGACAAGGTGGGAAAAAAACTCAACCAGGAGTCCTCTTTGGGAGTTTTGTGATTTCATCTCCTGATTTCACTTTTATCTATCTCTATTTACAACTGTGCATGTAGAAAAATCATAATGCTACCCTGTGGCTAGGTTGCCAAGCTCCCTGAACAACAGGGGTGTGTCTATTTATTATTTTTTTTAATGGTGCACTTCAGCAGAGATGTGCAAAATCAAGATTTGCATTTGATCATGAAAAAATATTGGCATTTTTAAACGTTTTACCTGTGTAAAAGTCATAACCCTACTTTATTAATAGCATTGTGCTCAGCTACACTAACAATTCATATAGCTGGAGATTATTTTAATTAGGTACATGCTGATGGTTAGCGTTATCTGAAATAATACAACAAAATATATTGTCAACAAACTAACACATAACTAACTTTGACCTCAGTAAAGACAATGAGTGCATGATGCTATCCGTGCTCTCATGCAGTGGTGCTAACAGCAGTCTACTCTGGGGGCCGCCCCACCCCACAACCCTTTCTTTGGGCACATCCCTGCAGAAGGAGTATGCTACAAACTGGGAGTGACATCCTCTCACTTTTGCTACAAAGACTGAGTCACATCACCTACGTCAAAGTGCACCCGTCTTTAATGCCCTGGGAGTGGCAATGGCCTGTCTATGCAGTTTTCTGTACTGCCTTAATGCTTTTTGATGTTCTACTGAACACTTTCTGCAGCTGGTAAAAGGATACACCCCACTCTCTGTCATCCTCCAGATTTATTTGATTTCTCCATTGCATGCTGCAACTTCCACTTCCTCGGGAGGAGCTGAGTAATTAGTTTTAATTTGGAATTAATTTGGCTCTCTATGAATACAATAGACTGTATACTGCTATTATGCTTAGATAAGCTGCCCCCCTTTCATCCTTAATGAAACATTTTATATTGTTGTTTGAGATCATCAATGATGATAGAAGTTTTTATTAGTGGCCTTAAGCATAGTCTAATATAAGTAAGGGCACTGATTCTCTTTGCTTCACATTGTGCCTTCTGTGTTTGTCTGGGTAAACTGTGGATACAGGGCGCCCTCTTCTGTTCAAACACTGACACGTCACTGTGACTAAGAGCGAAAGTTACGCAATCATCACCTCGACGTGTTCCACCCACTTAAAATTGTCCTCCAGCTATTAAGATTTCTACCGAATTGCAAAGTGCTTGGCTTTCTATCGAAACCTGCCTCACAGTTTTCCACGAACTTCTATATTTACTTGGTGTGATTTTCCCCAGTTCATTATAACTGGAGAGGGATGCAATAAAACTCAACCCCCCCCCCCCCATTCTCTCTGGCAGATTAAACGAGTGTTGTTGTTATTACAATCCGTCTTGTAGGAAACATAAAGAATTTCTCTGGTAAAACGGACACAACCGCCTCCTGCACGAAATCTACAAATTCCCCCTTTTAAACATATGCTCATGTAGTTATTGTGGAAAAAAAAAAATGTTACTCCTTACATCCATCCATTTATGAACGTGAACATGAAGGCTGGTCTATGTAACTGATTACTTCTGCTACTGAAAAGGAAAAGAAATAAATAAGTTCATTCATAAAGAAATCGACTTTAATGTCAATGTTTCATTGTTATTTTTAAGGGCAGTTTGGTCCTGAATTACAGTGTGAATCCAAATTGAAAAGGAAGCACAAACCCTGCATAGCCTGGAGACTCACCTGGTTGCATGTTGTAAGGCATAAAATCTAGTTCAAGGCACACACACTGGCGAGACATTGGTTGTGGGGGGGTGAGGGGAGAAGGGTAAGAATGTGGGTGAGA